GTCAGGGGGAGAGAAAGGATGGGACCATGAGTGCTGACAGCCCCCGGCCATGCAGAGCTTCGCCCCCGCACCCGCCACCATCTCCTGTCCCCCGGGATTGGGGTCAGGCTGTCCTGAGCCCTTTTCCATTTCCCGATAACCTGGCTATCGCCGAGGGAGATAAGGCAGAGGGAAATCAGGCAGCCAGAGCGCTTTTGTTGTCTGGGAAGGCTCAGCACATCTCTGTCTGCAGCTGGAGCAGCCCCGGCTGGGGCAAACCCTGCCTGCTCTTCCCAGGGGAACTTTCAACGTTTCAATAACAAAAATCGGGTATTTATTTTCTTTTTTGTAATTCCTGGCGGGAGGCAGGAACAACAGAGGACATTTCAAACAATCCTGTTTTCTTCCAAACTTAGTCACCGGAGAAACGCTTTGCCCCGGGGCAAATCAGGGCTTTGGTTTCCAGAGGGGTTTGTTTGGAGTCTCACCTTTGCTCAGAGTTCATCAAGGTGTTTCTTGTCACTGGCAGGGACGGGCTTGAGGCTGAATCTCGAGTCTCCTTCAGGGTTGTTTGAGTGTTCACAGGATTTTTTCCCATCAGTATTTTGCCCCAAAAAGCAGCTCCCTGAAGTGATCCCTCCCCGAGGTGTAATTAAAGTGGCTTTTGGGATGTAAATGAAAAGCCAGGTGATGGGTTCCTGAGGGCCAGAGGTCACTGTGAAACCCACATAATCTTAACTTGGGCTTCTGTCGGGTCGCTGTGATGGGGATGCAGCCGGTGACCCTCGGCTGGAAGGTGCCACGGGTGGTGGCTCTGAGCTGGCACCTGGGGGTGCCCACAGGGTCCTGGTGGCACTGGCCATGCACAGAGCCTGCAGCGTGTGCCGGTGGCAGGATGGACACAGCGGGGACAGGATGGACCAGGACCTATCCCATCAGTAGCTCTCAGGGACGGGCAGACAGTGCCAGAGATGTGACAGGCAACGGGGACAATGTCTGGAGGCCACCAAGGGACACCAGGATGGCTCATGGGCTGTCCCCAAGCCCTGTGGCAACGGGCACAGGCAGCTCTCACCTCCCTCCTGCCTCTCAGCATCCCAAGCAGGCAAGACCCTGTCTGCATGTGTGTCCCTGGGGAGGCTGAGGGATCCTGGCCCCTTTCCCAGCCCCAGACAAAAGCCTGGGAACAAAAGCCCGCGGGATGCGGGAGGCATCTCCCGGCCGGGGGGTATTTGTTTAGCCCGGGGGGGAGGTGAAGAGGGGAGAGGAAACTGCATTTCAAAGCGTTTCACCCTTTGAAAACCCTTCACAGCCCCCCCAGTGCCCTCTGCATGGCCCTGGTATCCCTGCGAGAGGACACCGAGTCCCCTCCGGCCACCTCCGCGGCTCTGCTGGGAAGGGAATAAGAAAGATGTGGAGAGTAAAAAAAAAAAAAAAAAGGAAATGCAGCCAGGAGGAGGGAGCAGATCATCGCTGCGGGAGCATTTCTGTGGCTCAGCCCCTCTCGGGGTGGGGAAGTTGGAGCCCCAGCTCCAGGGACTGACTGCTGGGCTGAGAGTGAGCTTGAGAATTCATGTGCTTCTCCCCAGTTGTCTTCATTTTGACAATCACACTGTTGGGTTTTTGGGGTGGGGATTATGCTGGGGATGGATCAAAGCCTGCACCTGGTCCCTTCCCAATCTACCAAGGGAACACAGCCCCTTCCCAGTCTACCAAGAGATCTGAGCCCCAGCAGAAGATTGGCAGAAGCCACCAGCCCAAGCCCATCTCTGCCCAGGCTTCTCCAAGAGGGTGCCACCAACACAGGGAGGGCTCTGGCCACCTATAGTCATTCTCAGGCTACTTTTGCAGGTCCCCTCTCCATATCCAACATCCCAGCACACACAAACCCTCAGCACCTCCAGCCCTGGCTGTGACAGCAGCCTGTGCCACAGGGACACCGCACACATCAGGTCTCAGGTTTCCTGGGGCTGTTTCGATGTTTCACCACCATAAAAACACCTATTTCCTCCAGGATGTGCAACAGAAACAGCCTCTGGCATCTTCTCCTGAGAAGCAGCTTCCCAGTTTGCAGCTGGGCACTGTCCCAGTGAGTTCCCCTCACCCTGTCCCTGCACAGGAAGGCACCGTGCGAGGCCCCAAACCTCCCAAAGCCCAGCAAAGGTGAGATGTGGATCCCAGGCACTCCTGCCACCCTCCAGAGCTCAGCATTCCGTAGAGATGAAGTGGAGGGAAGTGCAGACAGCAGTGCTGACCACATCCAGGGCTCTCCGGGCTCCTCTCCCCTCGGACGCGCGGGCGGACGCCGAGCCCACGCCGGCAGCGGCGCTGGGCAGATGGAAAGACCAAATGATGGCTTTGCAGGGGGCCTGGGATTTGTTTGAGCCATCTCTGTCTCAGTGAGTGACTTCGAATAACGGATACACTTGAGAAAATCGCCATCTGCTCCCGGACAATTCGCAACCAGAGGAAAAGGTGAAATAAATTCAGCGACTGTATTATCCGCCCGTCCGCAGCTCCGACAGCAGGGTCAGGCTTTGTGCAGCGTCCTGAAAGTGATTTGGGAATGAGAGGATGGTTTGGGATGAGCAAAGAGCAGACAGGCAGAAAAGGATGGAAGAGTTGAGGCCCCGGGATGTTGTGCCCACAGCAGGGCTCTCCTGGCATCCCGGGTTTGGTGAGTTTGGCAGGAAGACAAAATCTCACCAGATCTTTTTTTTTTTTTTTCCCATCTCTGAATTTTGAGTGCCTCCTGCTTCCAGCTGGGCTGGAAATACCACAAAAACAGATGCTACAATGCAGCAGATTTTGTGTTTCAAACACTGGAAGAAATCAGACATGAAAAATAAATGCAGGGGGCTGCAATGGCTGGGCTGGCGATGAGGCTGAGGGCACTTGGAGAGCCCTTGAACCCACAGCCCAGCCCATGCCAGCTCAACTGCTCCAAAAATCAAACCTTTCATCCTCAGCAAAGCAAACCCACTTCCAGGAGCAGATAAAAATGCCCCCTGCATCTCTGCTTGGCCATGCTGTGAGCCCAGAACCCACACAATGCTTAGACTGGTGTTTTTCATGCAATTATCGGGGGATGAATCTTTGCCCCACAGTCACAGCACTGTGCAGCAGATCCTGTCTGAAGGGATCCCTGGTGCTTCCAGCAGAACCTCACTGGGGGAGAAAAACACTCAGAGTTTGATCTTGAAGGGGCAGGAGGAACTGGGCAAGAACAGGGCTGGATGTGACCATTTTTGGTGCCCTTTTACTCTTGGCAAGCCCAAAGTGAGGGTGCTCAACACTAACACTGCCCTGCATTGTGCCTGCACAAAAAGGAGCCTGTTGCACAGATGATGATGGGATTTCTGCCTTTTCCTCCTCACTGGACTTTATCTGGGCATGAAGGTGTATTTGGCACCTGGGGAACCACCCAAACTGGCCCCACCAGGCATTGCCTTGGCCAATGCAACCACCTCAACCCAGGCCAGCCCTCCCCAGTGGGGTCACAGCCATGGGGTTGGGTGGGACAGCCTGGCTCCCCCCAGCCCAGCCCCTGTTCCCAGGGAGGGGATCCTGCCCTGCACATCCCAGACACCACACTGGACCCGTGGGGCTGCCACAAGCCAGGGATAAACCCTCCTGAGGGGCAGGGGCTGCCAGTGCTAGCATGGGTGTGCTGGCGTGTGGGTGCAGACAGAGCCCCCCCGATGTGTTTGCTGCCAGCACAAGAGATAAAACTCTCATTTATTTGGAGAGGCAGGAGGTGGGTGCTTCTGAGAGAGAAAAATGACTGTGACCCAGCCCAGACACCTGACTGGGTGTCACTGGGGACCCTGTGCAAGGTCCTGGGGGGCACTGCAGCCGCACCCTCTGGCCTGGGGCTCGGTGTGTGCTGTCCCTGTCACAGCTGTCCCCTCCTCACGGTGGCGACTGGGACAGGTCCCCACCTCCATCCCTAAAGGTTTCCTGCCAAGAGCCACGGGCAGCTCCTGCTCAGCACCGGGAGGGAAAGAGTGCCTGAGAGCAGGAGCCCAGCTGGCACCCTGAGGGGTGAGGATGGAGAGGAAGCAGAGGATGAGGATGAAGAGGAAGCAAAGGATGAGGATGCAGAGGATGAGGATGCAAAGGATGAGGATGAGGATGAGGATGAGGATGAGGATGAGGATGAGGATGAGGAAAGGGCGGAAGCATAGGATGAGGATGAAAAGGAAGTAGAGAATGAGGATGGAAAGGAAGCAGAGGATGAGGGTGGAAAGGAAGCGAAGGATGAGGGAGGGGAGGAAGAGGAGGATGAGGAAAGGAAGGAAGCGGAGGATGAGGATGGAAAGGAAGTAGAGCATGAGGATGGAGAGGAAGCGGAGGATGAGGATGGAGAGGAAGAAGAGGATGAGGATGGAAAGGAAGCGGAGGATGAGGATGGAGAGGAAGAAGAGGATGAGGATGGAAAGGAAACGGAGGATGAGGATGGAGAGGAAGTGGAGGATGAGGATGGAAAGGAAACAGAGGATGAGGATGGGGAGGAAGTGGAGGATGAAGATGGAGAGGAAGCAGAGGATGAGGATGGAAAGGAAGCAGAGGATGAGGATGGAGAGGAAGCGGAGGATGAGGATGAGGATGAGGATGAGGATGAGGATGAGGATGAGGATGAGGATGAGGATGAGGACGGGGAGGCAGGCAGGGTGGCAGGGCAGACCGTGTAGCCGGGCGGCAGCGAGCGGGAGCGGGCAGGCGAGGCAGCGCGAACGAGGGAGAGGGAGCAGAAATCTGTTGGCCAGGCTGCGCGCTCCGCTGTCAGCCGGCTCTGATTAACGGGCTGCCTTCCAGCTCCGCGCCGGCTGCGTTCCTGGCA